AATACTTTACTAATCATTAATTCATTTGGGGTGACTCAATAAATTTATTTTTCATAAAATTAACATGAATTTTGCCTGGCTCAAAATTTAAAATAACAAATTTGCAACTCCAATATAGTTGTGTGTGAGAATAGCATATACCTGTAATACTTTACTAATCATTAATTCATTTGGGGTGACTCAATAAATTTATTTTTCATAAAATTAACATGAATTTTGCCTGGCTCACACTTTTCTGTATAAGCTTGGACATGGTAAATTAGTGCGGCCATGTAGGGAATCCCAGAAGTGCAGATTGGACTGCTTTAAGCCTCTAAGTTAGGAGTTGTAACTAGGGGAAAATCTTGTAGATGGTTAGAAAAATATAATTTGAAAATTATTGGAAAATGTAAAATACAAGAAAAATATTATTCATGTCAAAAGTAACATTATATGTTACTTTTTCCGTTGAATTGTCATTTAATACGTTTTGTATGATATACATATCTAAAATGTCAATCTTTATATATAAATATGTTTAGAATGTCACATTCTTTGTTACTCTCACTAAAAAGTCACTCAAAAATATAGTCCTTCTTAAATTTAGCTTAAAATTTTGATAAAAATCTAAATCGAGGTAAAAATAAGATTAAATACAAATTTCAGGCGATTTACTAACCCGATATTTTTTTAATTTTTATTAAAATCTACTAAAAATCTTATTTTTAGTTGCATCAAACAGGGACATTATAACTATATAATTTACATTCTATCTATTTTATTCTTGAATTGAATATTCCAAATTAATTTATACATTCTTCTATTATCCTTTGTAGGATGCCAGATATAAGTAACAATGTGTATCTCGATCTTGCAAAATTAGATTACAATAAATGCCAGGCACAACATCAGACTGAATGGAATGAATTCGAAGAGTAAGTATATAACCCAAATATCTTTGTCATTTAACTATACTAAATTCATTAATCCCTTCTTCATTTCCTTGCACAGATGGTATGCAAACGAAAATTTGCAAGAGCTTGGGATAACAAGAAATTACCTTCTTCATGCCTATTTTTTGGCTGCTGCAACCGTATTTGAGCCAGAGAGGTCAAATGTGAGACTTGCATGGGCTAAATCTCAAATTATTTGTAAGATAATTGTATCTTATTTCAATCACGAAAATACTTCGGAGGAGGAGAGGATTGCCTTTTTAGCTAACTTCAGAAATAGAATCAATGGCCTTACCAATACAAAAAGGTAAATTAGCCCAAAATTTATTTGTTGATTTTTACAATATAAAACATTAAGCATTTTTCTGAAATCGTGTAGATAATTTTTTTTTAAATTTTTTTTACCATAGTCTGTCTATCTAATAACTAAATCTTGGACATATAATCTAAATATAGATTATATTTTTTATATTTATTTTCTCGCAGCAGTAAGACTGGACATCGAATTCCCAATATATTATCGAAAATCCTAGACCAAGCTTCGACGGATGCATGGGGGATCCTCGGCAGAGACATCAGCCACCAATTACATAAAGCTGTGAGTTCACATTATTTCCCCATTGTTTCATTCTTACACAGAAAAAGAACGGCTTAGTTAACTGTGATGTCTTTTGTAATTTTGTACGAGACAATGGGGAGCATGGCTAATGAAACTAAATAGAGGAGTCAAGTGCGACGAAGGAGCAGAGCTCTTATTAAACATAATCAACATTTGTGCAGGCCATATTGTATCCGAAGAGTCAATATTGCATCCTGAATACCAGCGTCTCTCCAAACTCACCAACAAAGTTTGTCAACAACTTCAATGGTATCAAAATGAAAAGGTGAAGCTTTTTTTTCTTTTCTTTTCTGAATTCAACTGATAAATTTATTAGTCTGTGTAATTTTTAGTTTTTCTTTTCTTTTCTTTTCTGAATTCAATTCACATGTGTTATGTGATGATTAGGTATTGGGAATAGATGATTGCAGCGCAGAAAATATTATCATGAAATGCAGCAGGGAAATTGAACAGAACAAGCAGGCGCTTGTACAGTTGGTTGTCTGTGAATCCAATGTTGCCAATAAGAATGTCAAGCAAACATTTCCAATGGTTGCAAAAACATTTTACTATGGTGCTAATTGCTCTCGAGAAACTATTGTGTTAGGATCTTCCTTAAGTTGCTCAAAGTGATTTCCGGGTTCAGTTAACCATTAAACATCGAATTCAACACCAAAATCAAAGATGACCGAACCGCCGGCTTCAACTCTCCTATGGTTGCTATTTCCTCTTTTGCTTGTTGATTCAACCACACACTTAGGATGGATACCACACAGGTAAGAGTCAAAAAGGCTCAAGCAATTGGCATGGAAGACAAATCATGAAGAAGAAGGCAGGAGAAGAAGGCAGCGGTTCTCTTTAGCTCTCGGGTTCTATCAAAACGGGGTGAGGAGTAGAAAGAAAACCACCAATATATATATTAGTTAAATGGCCAACATAAGGTAAGTCAAAATATGGTAAGTAGGCTCGACTAGGGTTAAGTCCCAATGGAAAGAAACAACAAGTCACAAAGAGTATTAGCCATCCAATAGGTAAAGCAACGTTTGGTCGGTTCATCCATTATTTGATGTTGAATTATCATTCAGTCATTCATGTCGACTGATAGAATTGGTTTTCATCATCGCCCGGGAGGTCGTTTGACAACATGATGTCTAATAACCTCTACCTTGGTGTCAAAGAACCTACAAAGAAAAACGTTTTTCCATTAGTGACACCTCTGACAGAAAAACCGATAAAATTGAAATCATTTACCTGTACCGATGT